AGGAGGAGAAGACGAGGAGGAGGAGGAGGAAGAGGAGGAGGAGGAGATTGGATTTATACACCGCCCTTCACTACCTGAAGGAGTCTCAGAGCGGCTTACAAGCTCCTTCCCCTTCCCCTCCCCACAACAGACCCCCTGTGAGCAATGTTCCCTCTAAGCAAAAATTCTGGTTTGTGAGCTGCTGGCATTAAAGTTGTGAGCAGGCGATTTGGCTGCTGCACAAGTCAGTTTGCTCTGGAGCCTTCCTTCCTGAGCTGAGACAAAAATGTGTGAGCTGGAGGCTAACAAACTGTGAGCCAGCTCACACTAACTCAGCTTAGAGGGAACACTGCCTGTGAGGTAGGTGGGGCTGAGAGAGCTCTGAGAGAAGCTGCTCTTTTTCAAGGACAGCTCTGACAGAACTACGGTTTGCCCAAGGTCATCCAGCAGCTGCAGGTGGAGGAGTTGGGAACTCAGTTCTCCCAGATTAGAGTCCGTGCACTTAACCACTGCACCAAATTGGTTTTATGAGCTCTGCGTGGCAAATGGGAATTCACCATGGAACTAGTTAGGTTGTATCTACGATCCTAATGACTTCCTATTGAGTTAACAGGCATGACTTTCCCTGAAGAACCCTGAGAATTGTCATTTCAGAGGGTTGCCGTGTTGGTCTGCCGTAGATGAGCTGAGTTCGAGTCCAGCAGCACCTTAGAGACCAACGAGATGTTGGGGTTATGAGTTTTTGAGAGTCGGCGTTTCGTATCTGACAAAAGGGAGAGGAAATGGCTACGAAACCGTCTTGACTACAAGCACAGACATGGCCGAAAGTTCGTTTCCTGCCGACTCTCCGGCAAGGTGCGAAGGTCTCTAGCTTTCTTACAACTCTCCACAGAAACGGCATAACACATCCCTTTTTGACGGGAGCCCACGAGGCACCCCACCCCACCCCGCATGCACCCCTCCCATAAAAAGACTTCAAGGTCTTTAAGCTGTCGTGTGAAGGGAGGGAGCGCGCGAGCCCCATAGCCGTCCGACTGCGCACGGCTCCCACGAAAAGGGCGAAGAAGTATGACTACACTGTTTGCCGTTGCAGGATGTGACCGACAACTGGGCAGGAAGGGGGGGACACCAGAGTCAATAACAACCCCGGTTGCTATGGGAGGGACAAGAAAAGCCCCACTGAGGGAGGGGGGAACTTGAAGCGAGGGGGTGGGGAGGCAGCACCCGAGTAGATTTCTCAAATGACCGAGATTTGCATTTCGGAGAAAAAATACCAACCCCCCACACACACACACCCCGCCTTTGCCAGGCAACCTGCACTGAATTAAGTGTTATATATAGGCCCAACTGCGGCAACCACAGTGACGTCCTGCGGCTTTGCTGACTTCCGAAGTAAAACACTGTTTAATGTCTGTGTATGCAGTGTTGCCATGGGGAGGCCAGAGTGTGTGTCTCTGTGTGTGTCTCTGTGTGTGTGTGTGTGTATCGCTGGGTGCGTGCGCAGCACACTTATCGCAGGGAAGGAAACAGGAGCTGGGCCTGCCCGGGGCCCGGTACAAACAGAGGCCGGGCCGAATTCCTGCGTTTGCCCCTCTGCCTTCTGCTGGGAAGAGGCGCAGCTGGACGGCGGAGGGGTGCAGCGGCCAAGGGCCGGCCCTTTCGGAATCGCTACCAGTGACGAGGCGGAAAAAAGAAGGGGTGCGCACGGGTGCATGTCTGACCCCCAGAAAGCAGCTCCGATGAAGCTGGACGGGGGTGGGGGTTAGGGTTGCCAGCCTCCAGGTGAGGCCTGGAGGTCTCCCAGAATGACAACGGATCTCCAAACCACATGGATCAGTCCCTGGAGTTCCCAACTTCCAGGCATTGCCTGGAGATCTCATGGAATTACAGTTCATCTCCAAACTACAGCGCTCACTTACCTTGGAGGAAACGGCTGCTCTGGAGGGTGGACTCTGTGATGTTATACCTTGGTGTGCGGACTCTATTCTGGGAGAACCGGGTTTGATTCCTCACTCCTCCATTTGCAGCTGCTGGTGTGACCTTGAGTCAGTCACAAGTTCTCTCAGAGCTGTTCTCTCAAGAGTTGTTCTCGAGAGAGCTCTCTCAGCCCCACCTACCTACCAGGGTCTCTGTTGTGGGGAGGGGAAGGGAAGGGAAGGAGATTGTAAGCTGCTCTGAAACTCCAAGTGAAGGGCAGGGTATAAATCCAATATCATCTTCTTCTTCTTCTTTCCCATCCCAGGCTCAACCTCCAGATCTCAAGGAATTTCCCACCCCGGAGTTGGCAACCATATCACTTCCGCTGGAGAAAATGGCTGCTTTGGAGGGTAGGCGCTATGGCCTTTTGCCCCAGTGAGCTCCCTCTCCCCCCAAAATCCTGTTCTCCTCAGGCTTATATCCCAAATCTCCAGGCATTTCCCAACCTGGAGTTGGCAACCCTACTAAAACTTCTTTTTTTTCAGCCTTCTAAAGCTCCACACGTTCTGTATCCCTCAGACTCAAATGGATTGAGAAGAGTTACACCCTTCTCAATCCATTGATGTCATAGGCTTGCCAAGTCCCCCCGGGGGGCGGGGAAACCCCCACCCCAGAAGCCCGTTCCCCGCCCCTCGTGTGGCCATGGCCCCGCCCCCAGCGTGCCTGCCGTCGTCACGTCACTTCCGGGTGACGCGCGCGTTGGGGTGGAGTTCCCCCGGGGGCCCGACCCGGCGGCGGCGGGGAACGGGCCTCTGGGGTTCCCTGCCCCCCGGGGGGACTCTGTACACTTGCTTGGCCGGTCCTGAGCATGCACTCTTGCTTTGTTCTAGGGTTGCCAACCTCCAGGAACCATTTCCCCAGGGGAACCAACGCCTGCAGTCTGCAGATCAGCTGCATTTCTGCAAGATCCCAAGGCCCTCTTGCATGTGGAAGAGCCCTGGGGGGGCATTGCAGCTAGCCCAGCCTCCCTCCCTTCACTGCTATGATGATGAAGAGGAAGAAGAAGAGGAGGAGGAGGAGGAGGAGGA